TACGCCACACACTGCATCAAATTGGTCTGCATGGCTGTCATCCCAGAAGGAAGCCTCTTCTAAAGATGATGCACAAGAAAGCCCGCAAACAGTTTGCTGAAGACAAGCAGACAAAGGACATGGATTACTGGAACCATGTCCTGTGGTCTGATGAGACCAAGATAAACTTATTTGGTTCAGATGGTGTCAAGCGTGTGTGGCGGCAACCAGGTGAGGAGTACAAAGACAAGTGTGTCTTGCCTACAGTCAACCATGGTGGTGGGAGTGTCATGGTCTTGGGCTGCCGGCACTGGGGAGCTACAGTTCATTGAGGGAACCATGAATGCCAACATGTACTGTGACATACTGAAGCAGAGCATGATCCCCTCCCTTCGGAGACTGGGCCGCAAGGCATTATTCCAACATGATAACGACCCCAAAACACACCTCCAAGACGACCACTGCCTTGCTAAAGAATCTGAGGGTTAAGGTGATGGACTTCAGTGTTGTCACATGAAATGATATAATAAAATATTTACAAAAATGTGAGGGGTGTACTCACTTCTGTCAGATACTGTATATATCTCTCAGGATTTCACAGTAGCAGGCCTTTCAAAGTAGAATTAAACCTTAACCGGATGACATTTAGTTTGTTATATATATCTGTTCCATAAGGGCAAAATACCTGTTTATATATCAAAAAGTCAGAGCTGTCCTTTGCACTCTTCCTGTTATCTCGAGGAGTCTAATAGCCCTCTTATAGAGTATATGACCTGTGATCTATGATAAGCAGATTGTGGAGAAGGGGAGGGATTCAGTAGTTTTTCAAGAGACAACTGGACATGGCCAACGCCATTTCTTGCAATTTCAGTCCACCAAATCGTGTGTAATGTCAGCCCACAACAGTAAATTAGGAGCAGTATTGCAGAGATGTACTGCATTTTTTTTATTATGCTCCCACACACATGTAAAGCACTGTGCACCATAAACAACTGTTTTTGTTCCATAAAAAAAACTGCTCTCAACTTTTTTGTTCTTAGTGCTGCTAATCTTATCCAGCCTCTCTTAGCCACTACATGCACTCACTTCAGTATCAGCAGCACATCATTGCTCTGGACTGCCTCCTTAGGGTGGGCTATGCACACACAATGTGTGTCATCTGTACTGAAGTGCATGTGACAGTATGACCATGCAGGAGCAGAACTGGGAGGTAGTTGTCAACCTATAACAGGAAGTGCCTGAGCAAGGATCTTTATGGTATAATCACCAGGGATTTGTTTTAGAAGTCTCTACTGTGCATCACAGAATTAATAAAAGAGACACATTTGTCCTCAAAGCCAATCTAAACCCAACTGGTAAAATACAATCTCATATAAGCTTTATTATGGCGATATAATTTCATTAGACTGGTAAGTTCTCTACAATGTCTCACTTCCATAACAAATCCCAAAAACAAGAGGTTTATTCCTGACCTTCCAACAGCCAACATGACGACCAACAATCCTAAAGCAGCTGTATATAGTATGGAATAAAATACTCTATAATGATAGGCGTTATCTATGCTACATACCAGCAGTTCTGGATATAGAGTTTCCCTAGATTTATTAAGGAATGATTTGCATGGCTTTGGCCATTATCCAAACATTAAAACTAAATCCCTTCTTTTTGAGATTTGTGGTGGAAGCAAGACATGTAGGTACCTTCTGCTGGTTCAGTGGGGGCCTTTTGGGTTCCTCTTAGGCCACCTCACCATACATTGTCTGGTTATACTTTCTCCTATCTATATGAGGCATATATGTCCTTAGTTTGATATATTTTGCACATGGGGCGACTGAAGAACTCCATACAGCTAAATACCACCCATGCGATTTGTTTTGATGTAAGCAGGATAAATTATTACCTGCACAGCCAATGTCACCATATCCATCTGCAGATTCACAGCGCCATCTAGTGTCCTCTAAAAATAATGGTCTTCAATAAATATAGGAAATATTGAAATTGACATATTCCCAGCAGTCCACTGTCTCTATAAAAAACCTTTGCCACTGCTTGAAATAAAGTACTACCTATGGCCTGCATCACAGATTGCATACCTCTGGAGCAAATACTGCCCTGTGTTTTAGTTTCCCAGTAATGTTTTGTACAGAAACATAAATTATAAAAAGGGCATGGCTATGTTTGTTCCAGCCATTTATGTCCCAATGTGTTTCTTATTGAACAGTCCTGTAGCACAGGGCTCAAAATTTCAGGTCCTGAGCTACTAGCCAAGCCTTAAAAGCTACTTGCCACCAGTACACGTTATAATAACCTATTTTGCTGAACATAACAGACAATAGGAAAGAATTTGCTAGAAGATAAGCTAGATAGCTAATGGGGTTAACCAAATCCCATCACAACACGCTGTCCAATACATTTTATTCAATTAGGACTGCCTTGCTCTGGTTAAATCTGTATAATTCACACATCCAACAATCCAAAAATAGCGCCGTGATAGTAATAACTTCCACAAACTAAATGATCAACATTATTATAAAAGAACAGCTGACTGATTTCCCTACTCTCTATTATGAGCAATACTTTTAGGATGCAACTGTGTGTTGGTCTAACCCAGAGATAGGCAACCTCAGCACTCCAGCTGTTGTGGACCTACAAGTCCCATGAGGCATTGCAAGTATCTGACAATCACCAACTAGGTGCAATATAGTATTCCTGCATGAGGAAATTACAATTACCTGCAGCAGGATTCCCTAATCTGCAGTTTACAAGCAGAACCTGTCATCTGTTCAAGTTAATAATCGGGTGACAGCTGCCGTATTTGAACCCCGGCACTCACATGTAATCGTATGTGATACTATTACATGCAGTTAGGAATCAATCACTATCCATATCACGATCGATTTGTTCAATGATGGTGATTGATTCCTAACCACCTGTAATCATATGACATACATTTACAGGCAGTGTTCCGGTGTTCTGTCGCTTTCAGATGCAGCAGCTATCACACGATCATTGAGTTGAACAGGTGACAGCTGCCACTTATCAATGGAAGATTAGGGATTCCTGGTGCAGAAAATTACAAGTTCCTGACACTGGAATCCCTAAACTAGAGGTGTGAATAAGGCCTAAATCTTTTACAATGCAAGTCAAACCTCTATATACTGTATGTCTTAATGTGTGTAAAAAAAATTGTTTTTTTTTTTTTTACATCTTGTCTACTGGACTAATACGGCTTACCCATTTACATTACAATATATACCAGGGGTCAAAGTTTCAAGTGCTGAGCTACTTGTAGCCAGGCCTTAAGAGTTACTCGCCACCAGTTGCCCCACTTAACTCCGCCCCTAAACACACCCTCTTAAATAATCTTATAAATGACACCGTTACATGTTTATGCAGAATAAAGTTACAAAAATAAATATTAACAACAACTTTAACAATATCACCATAAAGCTCCCTGCCTCCACATATAAAATAATACACTCTCCCCCCCTGTTCCCTGCCACCCCACATATAACCCTGGTGATCTGCAGACCTTACTAATCCATTATTTTTTGGCCGGAGCTCAATGAAGAGCTGCGGCTGAAAGGAACAGACAGCCCAGCCAGGAGCAGCTAGCTGCTCCCACAAGTCAGGTTTGCGGTGCGTGACCGCAAGCCTGACTGCATTTCCACTCGCCAAATGCGAGCGGAAATGTTGAGCCCTGAATATATATATATATAATGACAGGGCTTGAAAAATTTGATAGTGTCAGTCAAAAATTTCCCCACTCAGCATGGCCGGACTATAGCCTGCAATTTATGTTTAAAAAGTTTGGGGACAGATAGAGCTTTCTTTTGGAGGTATATAATCCCTACGTTATGTTATAAAACATTTATTCTTACCCATATTTTTAGTAAAACATAAAAGTCAGGGTCACGTCGGGTAAATAGACTCCAAACATGTCAAGCCTTAAAATTGCGTGCGCCCGCAAAAATCGCAAAAAACGCCCATAGGTTCATCAGTTTAGTGTTATCAGTGATTAAAGGAGAACTATGGGGTTAGTGCTTTTCCCCATAGTTCTCCTAAGGGTAACGGCAGGACACAAATAAGCGTCCTCCCGTCACCCTAAGCTCAGTATACCGCAAGCTGTGTTCGCTCACCTCCCGATCTACTGAGCCGACCTGTGACAGTCTCACAGGTCGGCTAGAACTATGAGGTGAGTGAAAAGCACTCACCTCATAGTTCTCCTTTAGGCTGGGTTCCCACCTAGGCGTTCGAAATATGCGTGTATGACGAACGTTTTGCGGTGCATGTTTTAACCGCGATTTGCAGCGCGTCAAACGCGCGTTTACGAGGGCTATACGGTTGTATCCTAATGGATACGTGCGGAAATACGCCCCAAAGAAGCTCCTGTACTTCTTTGTGCATAGGGCGTTTTTCAGCACGTTCCGACACGCTGAAATACGCCCAAGTGAGAACCATGCCCATAGGAAATAATGGGATTTCACTTGTAGGGCGTTTTACAGCGCGTCGATAAAAAAATAAATGTTATGCTTCTTTATTTTTTTTTTATCAATCTTTCATTTTTGTATTACTTTTTTCTTTTTTTTTACATAAAACTTTATTGCTATTACATGGGGGGCTAAGAAGCCCCCTATGGGATAGCCAATTTACATGACAGGTCCTCTTTATGGAGACATCAGGGGTCTCCAAGACCCCTAATGTCACCTAGGGAGCTTCAGAGAAGCTGATGAAGCAGAGATCGGCTTCATCAGCTTATATATGGAACAGATGTTTACCAACATGCTGGATTAATTATCAAAAAGTATAATCCAATTTTCATCAGAAACATTTCACTCTTAATCATTCTCTACTATACATTATAAGTCACTTACAGATCTTAATCATGTAGGCCAAAAAGAGTCTAAAGGTCTGTAGTAATTGTCAAGTGTCATATTGTTGCAAGTGTAAATGTTTCCTACAGAGGAGTACTGTATACAGCTATTCCACCACACCCATACTGTATATTTTCTTTTTTACAGCGAGTAGAGAAAACTGTGGAGTACCTGTACTCTGAAGTGAACTCTGTGCTGGATGCAATTTCAGGATCCTCCTGGGCCCTCTCAGTTGCTCCCAGTGGCCCTCTCTTGGATATATTTGAGGAAGGTTAGTAGATGTATAAAAATATAACCCATGTACCCCCTTATAGAACCATTTAGTGCAATATATCTACATACATTTAACCCCATAATTGTGTACTCTTGCAGCATATTTACTTATCTTAATGTTTAGAAACCCTAATGGGGGAATTTATCAAAACTGGAGCAGACAAAATCTGGAGCAGCTATACATAGCAACCAATCAGCTTCTCTTTTCAGTTTAGATTTGACAATGAAAGAGAAGTTGATTGGTTGCCATGGGCAGCTACTGCAGATTTTGGCTCCCGTTTTGATAAATTGCCTTCAATGTTTTTCAAGATTATTTTGTTACATAGAGAAGAAAGAGCAATAAAAAAAAAGGATGGGGTGAGATATTAATGCTGTGCCCTGCTTCGGTAGCATGTTGAAGAGGAACTCCGCCTAAAACAGGATGTATTTTGGCTGGGATGGGGTGGAGTGGAGCAAGAGTCAAATCCTGCTGAGGTTTTCTGCAATCGAGTCCCCCACTCTGGGTATGGCTGAGAGCTCGACCGGAATCAAACCATGAATTTCCCACATTGTGCCTGCGGTCCGGTCCTGTGCGATCAAAATAGTGCTTATAGCATTTTGATCGCACCGCACAGGATCGGTGCGCAGGCACAATGTGCCTTGCGATCCCATGCAGAGGATCGCATTGCGGCCAGAGGGCGTGGCTACGGCGCCATTCACTTGAATGGCCCGCTACGCCCCCTCCTACCCCACTAAAGTGAGCCGGCCGCAATGCGAGGCAGTGCGTTCTGGCCAAAATCGGGCCGGAACGCACTGCATCTAGTGTGACTGAGCCCTTAATGCATCCCTTCTAACCATATCAAGAAAAAACGGGTGTTTTTCTAGTGTAAGGGCTCATGCACACACACGGCCATACTGGAATTACTGGTTATCTATGCAGGATTTTGCTGATCTAAAGACACTGAGTAAAAAAAATCATGAAAGATGAATGAAAAAGCATTCAATATATGTCCATGTGTTTATATGCATACACTTATAAATTCCTGAACTCCTATGCAAGTTTTTCGATTTAAATTTTTGGATCTGAGCAGAGCACAGGTTTACTGATCTTTACACATCATAGAAAACAATATGGTTGTGTTTTAGATCTGTAAAAAAAAAAAAAAAACTGTACAGATAAACACTTTTGTTTTGGCTTTGTGCACGAGTCCTAAATTGGCAACAAAAAAGATACAGTGGGCATTTATAAGCATGACCTTGCTACAGATTTTGTACAGGATCTTCCTTCTTCCGCCACCCACTAGGGCCATATCCTCCAAGAATTTCACCAAGCGATATCAGGTATACATTATTTATCAATTTTATTTTTTCTTGCAGACTCTAGATGAAGATTACCCCAACCTACCTGTGAGAATCCAACACAGCCTTATCCATACAGCTTTTCTTCAATGTGCACTTTGTGATACATAAAAGTATATTTTAATAAACCAAGAGCTTGTGTTCTGGTGCTTTGCAAAAAGAATCGTATATGTTCACCAATTACTTTGTTTCCCTCCATTTCACTTTTATATAGTAAAACTGTTTACAATTAATGAACATAAAAGAAGACCTTGTGTCTTTTGTTTTATAAATGTGTTCAATATGCAAATAGGGGGTTTCCTTCATAACATGATCAGCACTTTCAAATACAACCGAATGCTGAATTGAACACAGATAATAGCAGACATCTTCTGACCCCATTCTAAAGTACAGATTAAAGTTACTAAAGGAGTTACGTGAAAAACAGATTCTTGATAAGGTCCTTTGTATATGATCATGTATTCAACGTGAACATGACTACGGTTTTTTGAGTGAAGATTGTCAAATACTTTAGTAAATCCACTCCCATAGTTCCACAGAGAAACCCCTAGCACATGCATTAAATCCTTCACATATAAGTCATAAAAGCACCAAAAAAAGTATTTTAGGATCTGCTCACATGATGCGACGTCCTGCTTCTCATTTCGAGAGATACGAACTCGGAGGAGGGATTGCTGCAGAGGCTCCATTTGGTAACATGTCACAAGATATAAGGTAACTAATAATGAGCTTCAGCCTTTAGATTGTAAATGGATTTAATTGTACATCATATTATAACATCCCTGTAAAATTAATATAAATTTTCGGCACATCATGGTATATTTGTGAAAGCTACAACAAAAGGCGAATAAAATATTTTTTACAATACAAAGATTGGCAACAGCAGAACATGGAGTCAATATCTGTGAACAAATAGGAGTAAAAGGTGCAAATAATGAATTACCAATTTAGAGACATTACCCAACAGAATAAAAACACAAATAATATATTAAAAATTGAGATTTGTCTTTATGGCTGTTCTAGGTTTGTCTGAAAACATACCAATCATATGGCAGGTATACACAGAAGTGGTGTGTACAAGAACATTGCTTTATAATCAGATTTTAAAAAGCTTTACACGGGGGCTTAAAAAGGATTTTCATGACAAGAATACATCCTACAACCAGGCTTCATTTAGTGCATTTAGTAGAATTCGACTGGCCTGAAGCATTCTGGGACTAAACAGTTCTATTCCTGTCCATGCATCCTCATCACTACCTTCCCAAACAACCATTCCTAGATGGGGAAAAGAGGAGCAGATATTTGCATATCCTATCCTAGAATATGAACAACATCTCCATGTATGAGGTCCACCATGTCTTCTTACTGTCTTTTCAATTATCTGAGTATTCTTTTCTACAGTGCTTCTACTTAAACTTAGGTCTACACTAACCTGTTACAGGCTAACAACTGAATGGCTGTTATGGACTTACTGCATACACCTATCATTTTGCACTATGGTAAGGTGTAGACAAAATTTCAATGAGTTACATCATGCATTTGGGGCCTGGTACTTTGTTCTACTACTATTGTGCTTTAAATCCCAACAGTACCCAAAAAAAAGTTTGTCTTGATTAGATAGGGAAGGGTTGGAGAGAAATTGTAAATGCTCTCCTAGCCATCTTTGTACTAGGGTCTCTCCATGTTTTCCTGCGTCTACCACCTTACACTGAGACCAGACGTAAGGGGAAGTCTCCACAATAAAAACACAGCCTGAGGTTTTAACTCTTGCCTTCGTACAAGAAAAATAGTTTTTATTTTGGTTTGTCTCCACTGAGTAGATTTCCTGACTTCTTGTTTTGTCTGACCCCTATGAAATAAACAGGAAGTTAGGAGAAATCTCCCCAATGGGGGATAATGTTCTCAGAACAGCCTCAAACAGTCATGTAAGCTTTGGAACATAGGATATGGTGAAGATAAACTATGCATTCTACATATGCATCTGTGTACTGACCTTGGACATCATTTGCTTAATCAGTTCTAGTTCTTACATTGCTCTGCTCTGTGCACAAGTCAGATGAATGGGTCAATAGTAATGCGTACAGAAGCCTTACCGTGATATCTGTGTACAGCGACTTGCCATACAGCCTCTTGTACTCCTGGCGGATGTCCAGCAAGTCTACCTCGCTACGGGAGACCATGATACGAATCAGGGTTTTATCTTTTGTCCCAGCACCCTGCACACAAAACACAAATGAGTCAGGTGAAAACTTCCATAGGTTTTCTGCTTGAAAACTATCCAGTAGCATGTTTATTTTATACACCAGTGAGAACAAGATGAAACCATAGCGTACAATACTATTTCCAGCACGGTACTGTCCTCTTCCTCATCTATATTCAATATGTTTTTCATGTTCATAGCCATAAAGTTGTGAAATCAGGATCTTACATGGACAATACATGAGAAGGTGTTAGATGGTAGTAAACAATGAAGGATATTTGTTTGGGTTATCTTTGTGTGACTTACCTTCATCGCTTTGTTGAGTCGTTCTGCAAAAAATGCTGGAGTGTTCCGAAGGCATTTTACTGAAAAAGACAAAGTATGTATAATTAGTATACCAAATCCAGTTCCTAGTTAATGTATTAAATCCGTGACACACTGCATACGGAGCCGTGCAGAGCGAAGCAAAGCCGTCAGGCACGGAGCTTCGTGTGCAGTGTGTGAGCTGAGTGCAGGTAGATGAATGACAGCACCTTCAGCCAATCGGCTCGTATGTAACAACCAGCCGGACTTTGCATCCTGACACGCGGGTTTATACGCGCGAGCCGATTGGCTGAAGATGACACTTTTCATCTCGGCATGCTCAGCTATGCGTGCTCTCGCATGCTAACGCTCCGGGGAGAAAATTGCATGACACACTGCACGCAAAGGCAGCGCGCCACCACTCCCCTCTGCTTCACGTGCAGTGTGTCACAGCCTTAAGGGTTTGGCTATTACAAGTAATCTTTCCATCTATGAGTCCCCTTTCTGTGTTACAGAATTGAGGAATCTTTATTATACCCCCTTATATTCTAGGAGTATCTGTAGCTTAACTTCAAGTAATCAGAAAACGTATGCCACATCACATTATACATACTCATTATATTCATATTACCAATATCATTAATATTGCTGAACCTGAAAAGTCCTGTGAATAACTCTCTTCATCTATTCATCTTTAAAAAGACTTTGTCACTGGGTAAGGAGGCAAAATGCTGCAGGTATGAAGATTAGGTACCCAGAGGTACACATACCTGCAGCAGCCTTCCAATTCTTCCACATGACATGCAGTTATGTGTGTCGTGTTGCCTATAAATACAGAACTGCTGCATTTTTAGGCAACACACATGTATAGTGTGAATGGCAAGCATTTGTTTTCTATGTGCCCTTGCATTGATCAGTGCTCCTTAACACAGCTCGATGGAGTGAACAAACCCTAAAAGGAGATATAATATGATCATGTAACAAACACAACAGCAATGCATGGAGAAAGAAATCACACACTAAGGGCTCGTACATACAACCTTTAAAAGGCGGCACTTAGCTCTTATTGCTGCCACCTGCCAAGAGCCACTCATGCTTCTGGTCTGAATGTGGCTGAGTACACAAGGCAGCATTTATTGGATACCGGTCTAAATGCTGCACATGATGTTAGACTGCTCTCACCATTCAGTTCCCATCTGTACAAGCCCTTACGGAACACTAAGCAACATTCATAAAGCCAGCTCAGGAAAACAGAAATGCCTTATTTTTGCCCAAACTTAACTTCTCTAGCTTTAATGCTGAAAGGTGAGTAACCTTGCTGCAGTTTCTGTACTTTATCCAAACCAGATAACTCTACAGAAACCAGCAACCAAGGCCATCATTCCCTTTTGTTGTATTTTTTTTAAAGTCACAAAAGCCAAAGTGAATGAGAGCTGTTGTAAGTATGTGCAGGCACCTTTAGGTACCTTCACTTTATACTTTCTAGCAGCTTTTTTAAATGATAAGAGTCACTTTAAACATTACTACAAAAAGCCCCCCTTTACAAATGGAAATTGATCATGCAGAAATATAAAAGGTGAATTCTGAGGCTGTCTCTAGTGGATGTGTTCATATATAGTTTTGCGCTTGGGTAGAGGAGGCTCCTGTTATTGATCTTTAATGTAAAGTACTTTCAAAGATTGCATAGGAGTTGCTATGCTGAAACAAGATTTGTCTCAAACAAGAGCTTAGATCTGCTGGGACTTGTTTGACATGATGCAGTTACTCTTTTTAAACTCATTGCTTTTATAAGACTGTAGCTGAGATGTACTGAAAAAAGCTGCGCAAGCTCAGAGATGCTTCATTTTTAAAGCACTGAAAACAGCTGGTTGGAAGAGGACCAACATCAGAGGAGAGAGACGCCAACCCTCACTGAACAAGGGGATTTCATATTAGGGGAAAGCCTAGTCCAAACACATACCGGTATCAACATTTGTAGCTGAGAAATCATATCATCTTTCTATGATTTAATAGTGTTCATAAGAATGAAATTAAGTGAAACTTAACAAGGCAGTGACTGTCAGATCACAACTTCTTTTCAGAGGTTCTAGCCTCTTCATACTTAGTCTGTATGATGAAGATAAACCTCTGGCTGGGGCCTGATTTAAAGGAAACCTGTCAACATGACTGTTACCTGGTACACTTTGAGGTTCCCATCCAGAGTCTGTCACTGTCTGACTCCTGAGAACAGACCTTGTCCTGGCAGGCTCATTCACTGTGTGATGCTGCTAAAAATGTGTCCTGCCCCAGGACTAGTACTGCTTCTGGGAGCCGGATAATAACAGCCTCTGCCGCTAGATAGAAGATACAGCAGTAAAAACTGCCTGCACAAATTCCCTTTCACATAATAAGCCTCATGTTCCATAGCCTAAATAATAGGCATGCAAGGGCCAACACCCAGTGTATGATTTAGCCTACAGTTAGGGTATTTATTACTTCTATATTTACACACATACACGGTATTCATTATTAAGATAAAACAATAGAATATATATATCTTTTTCCCTAGTGCTGGCTTTATAAAAGTCACTCAACATGTCACTACAACACTGCAAAATGGATCCAAGGTGGTGGGAGTGATCTCAGAATTACCAGACATCTTCTGGAAGCTTAAAGACAATTAAAGAAAAAGAGAAACGATCCACATTAGCACCAACAAGCTGTAAAGAGATCAGTAAGGTCACAAAGATAATTAACCAACAATCACAATGCAATGCAGAGTCAGTAATGTGAAGAATTGATATATTCCATATGTATAACAGGTGCACACAGGACATTGTAGTTGTTAAGGAGGCAGATAAATTCCAGACATATGGCCACAAGCTAAGCCTGACTGGCATTCCACAGCTCTGCAGTGCATTGTGTAGAAGAACTGGGTCAAGCCACTTACCCACTGCAAGCATGCCCCTCTCCAGATCCCCCGACATTTCCCGGCAGATGCTCTTCTCCAGCTCTCGGCTGTATGTTCTCTGGTATTCATAAAATACTAAAACAAAACAAACAAAAAAAAAAAAAAAAAAAAACAGCATTTAAAAATTTACTACCGTTAATT